TTTTTTAGATCCAGCTGTAGGGGGCGTCCCATTTTTCGTATTCCCACCATGCATTTCGGTGGAACACGGTGGAACACTTTTTTTGTGTGGAGAACTCTATCTTGTATTTCTAGTATCTTTGGTTACATATCAAAGGTCCTCAGTATAAAGTACCCACAGTACCTAAATAATAATAATGTACATCTGCACTTAATGCCTAAATCAAAATATTTTCAGTACGGAGAACTTTGGCAATAAATAGTAAATCATAAAGAAGAATAAGAATAATGATAATATTAATTACAAATTTTTGTATAGTGAAATTGAATTACCAGACACGAAGCCATTGGCCTTAGTTATTGCATAATAATGTTAATAGTTTTTGATATGACCTCATTTGCTCAATGTTCCATAACCCATTTTGGTGCAACTCTTTCTGTAAAAATTTGATAAAATGGTAATGCTTTTAATGTGTCAATTAAATTTATTGTACTGTATTGAATTTTAGTAAATTGTAAAAAACAATCGTTAATGACTTTATATATTTTCCCTTTCCACTGGACTTGCAATACAAAATCAAATATTAAATTCACAAGATTTATTCTATTGAATTTTGTAAATGTAAAAAAGAATTTGTTGATAACTTTAAATATTTTCCTTCTCCACTGGATTTAAAATAGAAATTGTTGTTTTAATATATAGCTTTCAATAAGATTTATTGTGAAACAATCGACTTTATATATTTTGCCTCTCCACTGGACTTAATTTAGTGTTCAAGAATTGTTGATTAATATTTTCCTTTTCTGCTAGACTTAAATAGAAATTGTGGTAATTGTTTGTCAATTAATTTCATTGTATTCAATGATTAACTTTCCGTCTTGTTTATTCATTGTATTTAGTTACTTGTAAAAAAGAATTGTAATAAATATTCAATTGCAAAAAAGATTTGTAATAAATAAATATTCATTGTATTCAATTGAGTTTCTTCTTGTTTCTTCATTGTATTCAATTGCAAAAAAGAATTGAAATAAATAAATATTCATTGTATTTAATGAAGTATTTGAACCAGCAAGCAGGATGGAAAAAAAAAAAGCGCCCTCGAATAAAAAAAGGCCCTAAATATGACTAAGTTATTTGGCCACAAAAATCTTGGGATTCCTGGTAAAAATAGTGAAGAAAAGCGCCCTCTAATAGCCTTTTCAATCCAAAGTTTTTTGGTGTCTCTTAATTGTCAATAGATGAGAAGCGCCCTCTAAAAGCCAAGTTACAATTGAAAACACCAAGAAACTGGCTATTAGAGGGCGCACTCTACCTTCACTATTATAGAATTAATGACAAATAAAAGACATCCAAAAACATTGAAATGAAATGGCTATTGAGGGCGCTTTTCAGCACCACAGGGAGCCCCTTTATTAAAGTCTGGCTCTGGAGGAAAACATTTTTTGATAATGTAGAACTGTTTTTTCTGTTAGACAAAAAAAAGTTGGCAGTTATTCTACTTTTCATTCAATTTATTCGAAATTCATATAACAAATTTCAAGGATAAAAACACAATAAAGTCAAACTTATTTCCTTCTACTACCTATCAAAAATTGTTTTCCTCTGGAGTCAGACTTTAAGCATCAATTTTAGGAGACCTTAGAAATTGGCTTTCTATTACAGCGCACTCTGCAGCACGACTTTTAATAGAAATTTAAGGGAAATGGGAAAAATTAAGCCTTTTTTATTCGAGGGCGCTTTTTTCATCTTACCTGCATCCATCAGTAGTCCTCAAACTTGCATCAGTCGTCCTCAAACTTGAACATCAAAGAAACATCAAGACAACACTAATTGTATTTTTTATTATCTTCATAACCAAATTCATTACATACTGTAAATTATTAGGTATTAACAATTCATTATACAGAAAATTAAATGCTCTGCTAGGCCTTTAAATTATAGTAGTTTTTTGGTTTCTCTTTGATTTGTAATAAGATTCATGTCTTCAATTCAATATAATCAGTTTTCAAGAATGAAGCAAGTGGTGTCTTTCATAAATAATACAATCGCTGTTTGTTTTCTTTCACCAATTCATTATACAGAAAATTAAATGCTTTGCTAGCCTATGTTAATTTCTTATAATAGTTCTCTGGTTTCTTTTTGATCTGTAATAAGATTGTAAATTCATGTCTGTGTACAATATAATCAGTTTTCGATAATGAAGCAAGTTGTCTTGGTGCTGCAATAATGTTTCATAAATAATACAATCGCCGCATTCACCAGAATTAGGCTGTCGCAGTATTCAGCAACATGTTCAAACTAAACTTCAGTATTCTTTTCTGTCTTCCAAAATTTTAGGGACCGCAAATTACAGTAAATTAACTAAAGTTAAAATGTTGATATTTTGTTGTCTTCTTTGCTGCAATACTTTTCCTCTCTTGTAACTGTGATGCTGCATCTGCCAAAAATATAATTTAAAAAGAATTAGACAAACATAATATAATATTATTTCATATGTAGCTTCAGTATATTTCACTTATACTTACAGTAATGTTAATTCTTTGTTACTTGTAACCTGCAGAGAAATTTGTCTGTCCTCTGCAAGAAAAAAAAAAAATTATTTTATTTTATTGTTAGAGTATTGAATTAGTAATAGAAATCCTTCCACCACTGGAAGTGTTTAATTATCTTTATTGTCGTCCAGTATAAAATACACAGGGTATACACTGTCAAGTTAAAGGAGAAATTCTAGAAGAATCTAAAACTACCAAAAACTCATATTAGAACTTTCGCAGTCTCGGTGTTGCCTTGTGCTGCTGCTGCACTTTTCCTGTCTTTCAACTTTGATGCTGCATCTGCCAAAAATGTAATTTAAAAAGAATTAAACACAAAACACACAAAATGGAAGAGTGGTTAGTAATAATAATGTCACAGGAAGCATCAGTATATTTAACTTAATATTCACAGTGCTTTTATATATCTCTTACTTTATCTTGCACATACAGTACTGAAATTTTGCAGCTTTTTTTTTTTTTTGTAGGATTCGAACCCACAAGCTCCAGATAACTAGCCTGGTGTCTTAACAACTACACCACCAAACACACACAGTATTGTATTGTCTTATCAATACGCACCTTGTCAAACCGTTATGATTTCATAGGCTTCCTTATACCAGGAATTACGTTATTGCACTATTCAGCAAAATGTTCCAACAAAACTTCAAAATACTTATCACCCAGCATTGATCATGTTCTGATGCTGTATCTTCCAGAAAAAAATAGAAAGACAAATATAATTTGAAGCAATTAAGAAATGGGATCAGACAATAAAGTAAAATACTAAATTCAAAAAATTATAGGGAGCAATTGTTTTACTATCTTCGTTAGAAATAGTGAAGGTCCAGCACCACAGTTTAAAGATGCATATCGTCATGAGCAAGCTTGCCCTACCTACCTCGTACCTCCATGGACACTTGCATCGGCTTTGCTTATCAAACCACGAAGACGATACAAATTAATGAAGACAAGTTAACGACAGCATCAATGAGGCAATAGCCCATTTGACAATAGCAACAAATTTGGGGAAAAAGATTTTCACTGATCAGTCTCCCCTCAAATACACGCAAATTAATTAATTTCAATTTGATTTAATTTAAAACTGTTTCTTTTTGCTTCTTGTGTATACCAATTTTCACTTGTTTTTTTTTTTTTTTTATATAATTTCTTTAAGTATTTTATCATATTCTAAAGATGTTTTTGACCGACAGATAAGGAAGAACAATGTAAATTGATTAAGTATTCAGAATTAAATTGTCGGTGGGAGCTGGTGTGGTCATGGAGTGCGTTGTTAGTTACACCATGTACATAATATCCATGGATACACGTACATTAACACTTTTAACTAGATAGACCCCAAAAATACAACAAAACATACAAGTAAACACAACGATTTGAATGTGTGGTTTAATACACATAAAAGCAACTTGTGATTAGTTTGAATTCATAAAGATAGCTTACATTTTTTGTAATATCTGATCTACTAACTAGTCTCTTACTTTATCTTGCACATACAGTACTGAAATTGCACTATTCAGCAAAATGTTCCAACAAAACTTCAAAATACTTATCACCCAGCATTGATCATGTTCTGATGCTGTATTTTCCAGAAAAAAATAGAAAGACAAATATAATTTGAAGCAATTAAGAAATGGGATCAGACAATAAAGTAAAATACTAAATTCAAAAGATTATAGGGAGCAATTGTTTTACTATCTTCGTTCGACTAATGAATGCTTCAGAACGCTGTCGGGATCTTGCTAATGAGAGATGTTTCACCGTACTTGACTCTGCAGATTCAGCTTATAAACTCAAAGTTAAAGAAGCTTTGCATATTACCTGGAACAATCCATCCCTTAATAAGCAAATTTACAACTTGAATATCACGCTCGCTGTTTGATTCTTATGTACTAATTTACATAACAATCTGCAGTGAAGGGTGGTGTCTACATTTTGTGGTTTGCTTCATTAGTCGCTTTTCTAATTTGCTTATTTACATACATGTGTATAAAGCCATATAAGCTTTGGCAAAATTTGTCATCTTTCGCACTGATGATGAGAATCGTTTTCTCGAAACATGTTTGCTATATGATCGGGCTCAATGAGTCCGCGATCACGATTAAAGTCTATTACTTGCTTTATAAAGTGCCTTACTTATACAAAATTTTAGTGGCATTATTTATGATATATATATCTTTTGGTGTGGTGTCATTTTTTTACCTATGTAAATTTTGATGCAATTCAGTTGGTGCTGGCAATCAAAATTTTTTAATAAAAAAATAATTGTTTTTTTTTTTTACATTAGCAAGGGACAATATATCTTTAAAATGTTGGTTCGATTCCGAACTTAGTCAACCTGTCCAAGTGGTAGCAGGTTACAACGTGCTAGAATCGCTGTGACGAAACCCAGATGCTATCATGGAGGAATGGAATAGACAGTGCTACCCACCACCTACAGCCCTGCTGAAAGATATATGTGCTATTTAGGAGTTGCTTTTGCTGTGGTGTCATTTCAGCAGTTTCCTGATTTTTGTAGTTTCAATTGTCTGACAATGAATATTCATTATCATAATACATCATTGTGATGAGACCATGGTCTGGTAAATTATGTAAATGAGTCAACTAGCAAACAGCCTGTATTAAAAAAAAAATGATATTATTAGATTTAAATTTTAACCAAAAAATATTAAGAGATTATTAATAAAAATGGTTTAAAAGTTGACTTACTTGACTTTATTCACTATTGCTCTCTGTGGAGCATAGGTCCTTGGAAATAACACGCCATCACACTCTGTTTTGAGCTATTGTTTCAATCTGCTTCCAGCAGTAGCCAGCCCGCTTCGTCTCATTGTTCACGGTTCTTCTCCAGCTATTTCTGGGATGACCTCGACTTCTCTTTCCATGCGGATTCCATCTCAGAGCCTGTCGGGTGGTATCAGTGGGTTGTTTCCTGCAATCCCCAATTGCACTTACGGATCTGGATATCAAATCTTTCCTGGTCTGCATTTCTCCATAGCTATTCAAAAGTAAATGTTTACAATAATTAAAGGCATATTGACTAATATTTTATATTTTCGGAAAATATTTCAGCCACTTCAAATCTCGTTCCTATTCTTCGTTCTTCCTTTATTCTTTCACAATTTTGCATTTTTCATAATTTTCATAATTTCATACACTCACATAGTCACTTGTTTAGGCCTAGGCTGGACATTACTATATTATTAAAATATACAATTTTAATAGATAACATTAATTTAACATGGACATAGTAATTCATACAGTACATTAAATTTAAATATTGATATATATAACGTTAAAGAATAAATAACAATAATTAAAACGTGTACATAGTATCACTACTACAATAATAATACAATCATATAATCAATTTTATATAGCCGGAGTTTGTATTGATCTAGGCTAATATAAAGGCTTTTTTATGAATGGAATGACCTGTATGAAACACAACTCCTGTAGACCGAACCAGTACCGTTACGATTTTAATCGTACGGGAAATATCCTCAAGATATAAAGGCTTTTTCTATGAATGGAATGACCTGTACTGAGAAATCAGCCTTCAAAGTTTATGATTCCGGGCATTTCTCTTGCAGAAACTATCATCAAATCCTTAAAAAATGTTGTTTTAACATTGAAAAGGGGAAAATAGGAGCATAACGTTATGTATAGATATATAAAGGTTAGTTTCTGTCTCTTATACACATCTAGATGTGTATAAGAGACAGATCTTGGACAACATTCTGGTAGCTTGGCTACTTCCATACTATCTCATTGAAGTTTCATGATACTGGGTAAACAATTTTTTTTTTAAATTTTTGATACTTAATTGTTTTCTGATTGTTTTAACTGTTTTTAATCATTTTTGTGCCAATCAAAATGTTTCAATAATAAACCAGAATAATAATTGTTCAGCTTTTCTGCATTTTTTAGAAGTTTTTCGAGTCTTCTACATGCATCTTTAATATTAATGTAACTTATGTAACTAAAATCATGAATAATACATTCAAATGATCAGAATATATAAATAAGAAAAAACTGTAAAACATAGAAGATAAGAACCACATATATAGTACAATTTTTAATTTAAGATTGATGGATGTTTTTAATAGCATTATTTTATTGCCCTATATGGTGAAAAGAATGGAAAAAGAAAAGAATATTTTAAACAATAATTTTATAATAAATAACATTTATGAAAACAAAATTGAGATTATTAACTACAGTATGGCTAGGTAGTAGCCTACATCACAATTGGATGAAAAGATTAAATATTTTCTCCACTTACCAGCACACTGTATTCTTGTTGATATCCACTCTCACAATTTTACTACTCCTGAAGCTGAACACCATTGCTTCTTAACATTCTGGCTGACTGTACCAACATGCCGCTCTACAAAAAATATAACAGAACAAAATCAAACCTATACTGTAATGGCATTCTTTTATTCTGCTTCTTAATAATTGTTAAGAAAAAAAAAAAAACCCAATAAGACAATGAGATTTACAGTAGCCACATTTTTCTGATCATATTAATACCTTGGTTTGTATTGCAAGCAATTTGAAAATATGTACAGATACTGTAACAGGCTGATTGCATAATAGTAAGTCTGTTATTGATAATTTTAATAATATTGAGGACATATTATAGAGGATGATTGATTTTGGTTCAGATGTATAAAGGTAAAGTTCTGAATTGCGTATGGGCGTGGTCCGTGACTATCGTAGCAATTCATTTTCCTTGTAATTTTAATGATTTTAACTATTGAATACTGTATTTATAAAATGAAAGTAAAATTTTATTGGTGAATGTAAACAGTGTAGTAATGGGATGGTTACCATAAATGCTTTAAATTTATATAATCAGGAAGAAATATACACATCTGATTTTTGGAGATTTCAAGGCATCGTTGGGTTGAAATAAAAATAAAGAAAACCATTAAGACGATTAAAGAAGACAAGTTAAAAATTGGTAGAAAATAAGGAACCAGAGGAGCAAAATAAAAAAAGCAACATGTGAGACAGAAGAAAATATTAAGTGGTGACATTATTTAAAGATGCAGTGTCCCATGAAAAATAAAATTATTTATATTTCATTTAGACTTTTTATACCTTTTTCCTCAAACCCACCACCCTCCGAAATAAAATTTTATTTTGTGCCAATTAGCGCATTCGCCACCAAGAAAAACTGGAAATATCAGAAAAAAATAAAGGTGGTTCTTTATTTTTATTACACTCGCCGCTGCCTTGAAAGCTCCAAAAATGAGATGTATATGTGGCAAAGACAAGCCAAACCAGTCATTCGTCGGAAAAATCAATTTTTAGTCATTAATACAGGGTTTAACAGTACAATGAGAGCTATAAAATGGTAAAAAAAATCATTTAAATCTGACACTTCATTATGAAGTTACACGAGTTTAAACATACAGCTGTTTAAAGAACAATATTTGAGAAATCAGACTTCAAATTTACGATTTTAGGCATTTCTTAGGCAGAAACCATCACCAAATCGTTAAAATTGTTGTTTTAACATTGAAAATGAGGAAAATAACAGCATAGCATGATGTATAGATATATAAAAGTTAGTTTAGTGCAATAAAATAGATTTCCAAAATTGTGAAATTCCAGCATGTTTTGGCCATTATCTCCAAAACAGGATTTGCGACGAGTGACTGGTTTGGCTTGTCTTTGCCACATATTTCTTCCTATTTATATAAATTTAAATCATTTAACCATTACTACACTGTTTACATTCAACAATTTAATTGTTTTTAGTCTGCCAACCTCTGTTGCCTTATTCCCCGGGTATTCAACCTTTTTAAGCTGGGGGCCAGTTCCAATCAGTTGAGACCAGCGGCGGGCCGATATAAATTGTGTACTTACATTTTGTCTATGTTAGCCTCACCCATTTTCTTTTACAGTGGTGGATTCGAAACAGAATGGGCCAGGGAAGAAAATACACCACCTCAGTAGCACCATGGTTGGGGCTGAGGTAAACAAACTTATGATTATGGCACCTAGATGGTCAGAAAGGGCACCTCGGACTTTTCTTTTCTTCTCCATTTTATTTTAGAATTTTGAAAAAATAAAAAAAAGCTTGCACTCCGGGTTCTCCTACCCTGCCACTAGAAATCATCCTACCACAAAAATATCCACTCGCCAGTGGTTGGGTTTGACGTGAGCAAATTGTTAACGTGAGATACCTCTAGTACCTAGATTCCTGGAAATGGCACTTTCAAAAATTAATCCATTAGTCTCCCCCTCCCCACATCAATACGCCACTAGATACAGTGAGCTACACTCAGAAAAAGCCACACTCTTGTAAACAACGCTATAGTAGGGGTGCCTAGGCGGTGTTTAAACAGAAAAACGTTTTCTAAAAATGGGCTGGAAAATGATTTATTTTAGCAATGTTGTGCGGGGGGTTGAATAACGAGGCCTTATTCGGTATAAAACATAATCTGTATGTTACTGCAATATAAGCAGTTATAGTTAATTTTTTTTTTTTTATTCATTTTCCGGGACAATACATCTTTAAACTGTAATCAAAACATGGTTATAATTACAAACCTCATGTTGTTAACATAAGAGCCAAGATAATTGTAACTGGCTTTAGCAAAACCTGCCATTGTCGTAATTTCGACTTTTTGCACAAACACCCAAAACATTCAATAATAAGAAATTAATATTTTCTGGGTTTTTTTTTTATTTGAAATTTGAATTTTTGTTGGTGGAGGGAGACAAACCTAGGTGTGCTTTTCCTAAGACCACAATCAAAATTCACATCAAAGGTTGGAAAGTCCAACCTCAAATTTGGGAGAAATAAGACAAACAAGGGAATTGGAATGATATAATAAATCAACTGTCATTGCCAAAACGGCAATTGCAAGAACAAATACTATGAATGCCAACAGAAATTTCATTCATTAATTTTGCCTCAAAAAGCTTTCTGAATTGAATACGAGGTTGTAGAAAGCTAAATTATACGGGTTATTACATCTGCTGCCATGAGATTGATCAACAGTTAAAAAGAAATCATTCAAATTATGAGGAGTTCGGTTATGATAAATATCAGAAATAATTTAAGTACATGTAATCTATGTAACTGATAAATATCTAAAATTTTATGTTCATAAAACAAAGGTGGCAAATGTGCATCACTATTAAAATTTTTGTTTTTGGAACAAAATATCATAATCTAATTATTCCTAATTGGTGGAAATTTATTTTTTATTAGCCTCCCCCCAAAGGAGCGAACCCACTTGCCCAACGCAGGGACAAGTGTTTTTTACGGTCGGACAACAAGAATATTAGGGACCACTAGTCCTTGGACAAGCACTTTTAGAATAGGCTACTTAACCAAGTAATGCATAATGATTTCACAGTATTTATAAAAAGTCCGATACGCAGCATATTTTATTAGAAAATTGTCGGCACACAGAGAGATATCAAACATAAAAAAACCGCATGGCCTGCGGGAATCAACTTTGAGTCACCAACACTCCCACGATTTATGGACAGTTCAAAAGAAAAAAATGTAGGCCTAACTGAAAATTAATTTTTTTTATTTTCTGCAGTAAAGATTGAAAATGAATTCTTAATTGTTAAATGTCAACCGTCTGTTTACAATATAAATTCGCACTGGTCTAATCTATAAATACCAGACATATTCTAAGACTTTGGGCACACAGCCATTAGTTGATTAGTTGAGTTGGACGACATGACATGTCTGGACTTCAAGATTAGTAATTACTTTCGAGTACGAATATGAGCAGCAGCCATTAGGCCGACTTCAACAAATTCGTTTGCGCGTGTGGGGGAAGGCAATCTAGACAGCCTCAGAAAGGGCATTGGGATTTAAAGTTGTTAAAAGTAATTAAAAAATCATTCACTTCTAAGTGAAGGAGATACAGTAGAACCTTGTTTTTTACGTACCCCAGTTATACGAACCCTCGGTTTTACGTACGCCTCATATCGACGATGACGTCATCAAAAACCCCGAAAATATTCAAAACAAACGGCCCTTTTCAGAGCAACCATAAGTAAAAAGACTAACAATAAACTATAACAATAAACAAACCATAATGCAACGTATTTTCATTAAACAGCAACGTTGATTGAGTCTAATACCGGGTTGTTATAATCTAAAACCATGTGAACCGATGGTGCTCAAAATTATTGCTTTCCTCCTTAGCTTCGTGTGGCAAACCATGGAAACACTTGTCTGGTCGAATTTTCTACACGAAGCTGAGTAGGCATAGTTGCGTACACGAACGCTAATTGGTTGGCTCGCCCAGTGCAGTGCACATGGTTGCTGTTTCACGTACACGAACGCTAATTGGTTGGCTCGCCCAGTGCAGCGCACATGGGTTTAGTTTGTCTCAACAGGCCCAGACAACACCACAGCTCTGTTGTTTAAAATAGGCATGAAGGGGAATTCCCAAGTTATACCTTTGTCGTATAGGTAATCTTACAATGTTTTCATGTTCTTTAGTTAAATAAAAGATATAAAGTGATGAATTAATACACTAGACACACGGTTTTATTTGAACACTTTATTATGACATCGTAAAATGATGAATAAAAACACTAAACACATGGTTTTATTCGTAGGCCTAGAGGCTTGGTCTAGCCTAGGTAACACCGTTTGTTCACACATACGTATATTGAGCATTACGTACGTATTAGGTCAAAAGTTACCACAAATTTAACCCAACCTCTATTTTACGCCCTCCGGTCCCGTACCGTACGTAAAATCGAGGTTCTACTGTAATGTGCATATAAAATCCAAATCTTGTAAAACTAGAGTTAAAAATTGAGGGTTTAGGGCCAAATGAATCATTTTCCCGTCTCAAAAATTTCGCTGTCTCGGAGATTCTCAAGAAGGGATTCGTCCCCTCGGCCCATCCTCAAAGGTATGTTTGCCCTACACTGCATTGTTTTCTTTCATTGAGAGGTAAACAATTTTATTTATTTTGCAATAAATAAAATCAGGATGTGTGAGGCTGTAAAATATTCCCATCGTAAAATATTGGGCCCAGAAATCCATCGCCGCAATTCGAAAATACAAGCCAATTTCCACGGATATTTTTGCAGAAATTGAGGCCTTCATACACAAGTATTTACAATTCTGCGCATCTATTTTCCTAGGGGTTTTCCCCGTGCAATTTGAATTCTGTTTCCACAAAAAGAAATACATTTTGACTGCCAGATCATTTTTTAAGGTTCCTTCCCGTATGCCAAAACAAGTTTACATGTACAAACATTCTTTTTTGAAATTTTATCTAGTCATACGTCATCAAAATGATGTGTCTAATAAATTGGCGGGAAAATACTAGGGGGCGAGTATACTCGTCGGCGGCACTGTGATAGAACGTTTTATTCACTATGCCA